AGACCCCATTCCCACAACATGCAGAATGAACATGGTTTACAAAATGCCATGCAACGATTGCCACAAACATTACATCGGACAGACAGGAAGGAAACTAGCCATCAGAATACACAAACATCAGCTAGCAGCAAAATGGCACGATGAACTCTCCTTAATATCTGTCCATTCAGACAATGAAGGCCTCAGTTTAACTGGACAAAGTAACCATAGTAGCCCAAGCCAAACAGACACGCACAGGAATTCCTAGAGGTACGGGTCTCCACCCATACTTCAATCAACGAACATACAGAATTGGACTCCATAAATAAACCCATACAGATCAAAACCGGAAATGACAGTACTCACCATAACATACCGGACAGTATAAATTCCAAGAGGAATAGAATAACATCGCTTCATCAGAGGATCCACTGATGATGTCACCCAGCATGGTGACAAAACGTCTGAACAAAAACAAGCCAGCTCGTCGAGCAAGTCAACAACCACAACGAGTGACTGGCAATGGGTAGTGTATGGTAGCAGCCCATGTAATGACAAGGGAGTGGGGGAAAGTATGGGAAAGGTGCTCAAGCCCTAAAATTGTTGAACTCAATATTAAATCCATAAGGCCGCAGGGCTCCCAAGTGGAGAATGAGGTTACTGTTCTTTCAGCTTGCGCTAAGTTTTACCAGAGGACTGCAGCAAGCCTGAGACAGATATATTGGCCAGAGAACATAGTGGAGTGCCGAAGTAGCAAGCGACTGGAAGCTCAGGTCCTTTTTACAGACAAAACGCAGGTGTTCTGTAAAGCAGTCACTCAGCCTGTACGTTGTTTCCCCAATGTAGAGACGACCACATCATAAGCAGCAAATACAGTAGACTAGATTGAGGGAAGTGCAGATGAAGTGCTGCTTCACCTGGAAGGTGTGTTTGGGACATTGGATAGTGAGAAGGCAGAAAGTAAACAGGCAGGTGTTACACCTTCTGCGAAAGCAGGGGAAGGCGCTGTGGGAGAGTGGGACTCATTAGGAGTGAGGCAGAAATGAACCAGGGTATTTTGGAGGGAATGGTCCTTGCAGAAGGCTGACAAGGGAGGGGAGGGGAATGTGCGCCTGGTTGTTGCATCCCACTGGAGGTGGCATAATTGGTAGCTAATGAGTCTCCGGATGTGGATGTTGGTGGGTTGGTAGGTGAGGACAAGGGGGACCCTATCGCTGTTGTGGGAGGGAAGAGAGCTGACCCAAGTTGATGAACTGACCTATCTTCTGCATTGGACACTTAGTATCAATACCTATTCTGGACCCTCTTTTTTATTTCCCTACAATCACTTCCAATCCCTTTGCCTTTTGTTCTGTGACACCTATAATCTCTAATCTCTGCCACCTGCTAACTTTCCCCTGATCTTCACTTTCATTCCACTTGTTCCTCCCAACTTTTTCTACACTAGAAAACCCATCAATTTTCCATCTCTCTCCAATTCTTAAGAGTCATATTGGGCTCAAATGTTAACTCTTTCTCTCTCTACAGACGATGCTGAGTTTTTCCAGCTCTTTTTTAAAATGTCCTTTATTCCCTCACTACTTCATCCCTTTTCAGTGCTATAATAGTCTTTTTGATCAATATCACTAATCATCCCTTTGTTTCTTCCCAATTTCCTGAATTCCTTGTAACCAAGAATATTGGCCCAGACTTCCCAGCCAGACCATTATTTTTCCAGCACAGATGGGATTGCATATGGGGACCCTGCAGAATTCCAGGTAACAGGCTATAACACCATACGACATAGGTAGAGAAGTAGCCATTCAGCCCACCAAGTCTGCACCACTATTCAATGAGATCATGGCTGATCTGGTCACCCTCAACCTTACATGCCTACCTTTATCCATAAACTTTGATTCATTTACTGATTAAAAACCTGTCTGTCTCAGCTTTGAATATATTTAGGAAACAGGCCTCGACAGCCGTCTGCAGTAAAGAATTCCACAGATTCTCAACCCTCAGAAAAATTTCCTTCTCATCTTTATCTTCAACAGTTGCCTCTTTACCCTAAGATTATATATTTTGCAATACATCTTTCCTTAGATAAAGGACACAATACTGTTCACAATAATCCAGCTGTGATCTGACTAATGCCTTGTATGCTCCAAAGAAATTGCTAAGGAAATTGAAAATTCTGCTGGATAATCCCACCATGCTAGGAACCGTACAAAGGATTCCAGAGAATTCAGACCCTATATTTACCTCACACACCCACAACCACAACTCCTCTAGACTGTTTATACTCCAATCCTGACCCAACACCGCCACATCATTCTGGACAAAATTTCCCCCCTCTGTCTCTCCAGACCTGCACCCCCTTCCCTCACTGAAGGGCCCAATGACTACCATGAAAATGTGTGCATGGTTTGCCTTCCCCCAACAGTTCTGCATTATGAGAAAACTGCCAGAATGGAAGTATGGCTCCACATTTCTGAAGCAGCCCTGATCAGGGTCAATCATTAGAAATAGGGAAATATTGCCTTTCTGAAAAAAACAATGGCAATCTACCACTCAGAAAATCCAGCCCATTAAGGTCTCAATCTTCCTCTCTTTGAGTTAGCTCTCTGTTAATGTCATTGTTTCTTAATGCTGTGAGGACATTTAAGCCCATAGCTCAGCAGCCTTTGGTGTTTGTCTTTACAGTAGAAGACACAAAAATCACCCAATGAATAATAGAAAAGCAAGGAGATAAATTTAGGGAGGAACTTAAATCAATTGTGATCAGGAGAGAAAAGGTACTAGAGAAAATAATAGGAGTGAAGGCTGATGAGTCCCTGGACCTGATGCCCTGTATCCTATAGTCTAAAAGGAATACTGCAGAAATACTAAATGCATTGATTGTAAACTTCCAAAATACTTAGATGCCAGAAAGATCCCAGTGAATTAGCAAACTGCAAATGTAACACCACTCTTCAAGAAAGGTAGTAGACAAAGTCAGAAATTCTAGGCCAATTAGACTAACACTGGTCATTGGGGAAATGCTGAAATCCAATGTTAAGAAAGTAGTAGCAAGACACTTAGAAAATCATAATACATAATACAGTCAGGGATAGTAAGAACCGCCGATGCTGGAGTCTGAGATAACACAGTGTGGAGCTGGAGGAACACAGCAGAGCTTTACTGCTCCTCTGATGCTGCCTGGCCTGCTGTGTTCCTCCAGCTCCACACTACATAATATAGTCAACTTGGTTTTAAGAAAGGAAAACGGTGCTGAGCAAATTTGAGTTCTTTGAGAATTGGTAAATATAATATACTTAGATTTACAAAAGTCATTCAGTAAGGTATCACATAAAAGGGTACAATGCACGATAAGGCTGTTGGGTAATATGTTGGCTCAAATAGAAGTTAATAAACATCAATTATAGAGGAGTAAAAATAAATGGGTCATTTTCAGATGGTAATCTGTAATTAGTGGAGTGATTATGGAATCAGTCTGGGGCCTCAATTATTAATGATCAACATTGATGACATTATTGAAGGACACAAGTGTTATAGGCAAATATTTTGGAAAAGAACACCGTGATAAATGATTTGTAAAAGGTTAGTATGCTGGTACAGCACTGGCATAGTGATTAAGAATAAAACTTCACCATTTTGAATGATTTGGAAAAATTATTTTAAAACCTAATTAACTTCACATGTTGTACTGATTTGGACAGAGACAAAGAAAGGACAAAACTGAAAAGGTAATAATTAAAGACTATTTAGAGTCATACAGCACAGAAACAGACCCTCAGTCCACCACTTCCACTGGCAGCTTGTTCTATATGTGCACCACCCTGCATGAAAAAGTTATCCCTCAGGTCCCTTTTAAATCTTTCCCCCTCACCTTAAACCTCTGCCCTCTAGTTTTGGACTCCCTCATGCTAGGAAAAAGACCTTGGTTATTCAGCCTATCCAGGCCCCTCATGATTTTATATAAACATCTATAAAGGTCACTCCTCAGCCTCTAGCACTCTAGGGAAAAATGCCCCAGCCTATTCAGCCTCTCCCTATAACTCAAACACTCCAATCCTGGGAAAATCCTCGTAAATTCTTTTCTGCACCCTCTCAAGATTAACATCCTTCCAATAGAAGGGCGACCAGAATTGTACACAGTATTCTAAAAGTGGCCTCACCAATGTCTGTACAGCTGCAACATGACATCCCAACTCCTATACTCAATGTTCTGACTAATGAAGGCAAGCATTCCAAACGCTTTCTTCACCACCCTGTCTACCTGCAATTCCATTTTTAAGGAACTAGGCACTTGCACCTCTTTGTTCAGCAACACTATCTAGCGCCCAACCTTTAAATGCATAAAAAGCCTGCCGTGGTTTGCTTTACCAAAATGCAACACCTCACATTTATCTAAATTAAACTCCATCTGCCACTCCTCGGCCCATTGGCCCATCTAATCAAGGTCCCATTGTACTCTGAGATAATCATCTTCACTGTCCACTACACCACCAATTTTGGTGTCATCTGCAAACTTACAAACCATGCCTCCTATATTCACATCCAAATCATTTATACAACTGACAAAAAACAGAGAACCTAACACAGATCCTTGTGGCACACCACTAGTCACAGGCCTCTAATCAAAAAAAAACCCTTTACCACAATCCTCTGTCTCCTACCTTCAAGCCAATTTTGTATCTAACTGGCTAGCTCCCCCTGGATTTCATGTGATCTAACCTTACTAACCAGTCTACCACGTGGAATCTTATCAAATACTTTTCTGAAGTCCACATAGATGCCTACTACTCTGCCTTTATCAACGATCTTTATCACCTCTTCAAAAAACTCAATCAGGTTAATGAGACATGATTTTCCACACACAAAGCTTTGTTGACTATCCTTAATCAGTCCTTGTCTTTCCAAATGCATGTAAATCCTGTCTCTCAGAATCCTCTGGCCTTTCCTTACAGCTTTTCTTGTTTAAACTATTATTTGTTTACTTAGCAGGAATAAAAAAAATGAAGAAAAAATACCGCCTTTACCTTTTTTGGACGTTTGGAGAAGATGAACAAGAACAAAATGAATAACAGAAGTCCAATAACGGAAATTAGCTGGTTTGTGCTTTGACTGGCTGTGTCCAGAATAAGCCAAAGTATAATTACTACAAGTAGAACCATATACAGCAATCTGAGGCAAAAGAAAACACAGTTTGAAGAAGTCTTAGTTTAGTCAACTTAATCACATTCTATGGAACAAATAAACTGTAGCCATTCTATTAATTGGAAAAACACCCTTGCATGTAACGCGTCATCTTAACTTGGACAATTATTATAGTTCCCTCACCATTGCTTAGTCAAAATTAGAAATTCCTAATATAAAACCATTTTCAGATAACCATTACCAAAGACTGCAGTGGTTCAACGAAAAGACTCAGCATCACTTTCTCAGGACAATTTTCAAAGAACAAAAAAATCATGACTTTCCCAAAACCATCCACATTTTAAGAACAAACAAATAAAATCTATAATTTAGTCCTCAGCAGGAAAACTCGATATGAAAATGTAATCACCACTGAAGTAAGTGAGAATATACTAGCAATGTCATTAGACCACTAATCCAGAGACCTAGGGTAATGCTATCAGAAACGGGTTCTTAAGTTCCACCACATCAGATGGTGAAATTTGGATTGCTTTAGTAAAGTCTTAAAAGCTAACTAATGGTGGCCATGAAGCATTGTTGATTTTGTAAAAACCCATCTTCATACAATCCCTACAGTACAGAAGCAGGCCATTCGACCCATCAAGTCCACACCAACCCTCTGAAGAGCAGCCCACCCAGACCCACCTCCCTACCCTGTCCCTGTATTTTCCATGGCTAATCCACCTAGCCTGACATCCCTAGATGTTATGGGCAATTTAGCACAGCCAATCCACCTAGTCTGCAAATCTTTGGACTGTGGGAGGAGACCAAAGCACCTGGACAAAACCCATGCAGACACGGGGAGAATGTCTGTATGGAGTTTGCACAGTCACCCAAGACTGCAATCGAACCCGGGGCCCTAGCGCTGTGAGGTAGCGGTGTTAACCACTGAGCCACTGTGCCTGGTTGACTTAACACTCTTTGAGAACAAGGCATTAGAAACAAAGGCACAACCAATCTTGTCAACCCAACAAAACTAACATCGAGGAGTTTGTGGCAAAATTGTAATATTTGTCAAGCAACAGCCTGATATTGTCTGTAAAGTACGATTCCATGAGAATGAGTATGTTCAGATACCACCACCACCATCACCAGCTCCAGGTACGTTCTGTCCCAATAAAAGGATAGAGCCGCCAAATGTGGTGGCACAGTGGTATACAGTTGAGGCAGTTGTCCCGACAGCCCTCAACATTGATTCCAGACATCATGAAGTCTTATAGCATCGGGTAAATGGAGAGTAATCCTGCCAATTATCACCTATTGCCCTCCCCTCCCCTAACATGATGGATCAGTTCTCCTCCATATTGAACACCACTTGGAGGATAGGGAAGAAAAGGTCACAAAATGCACTCTTGGTGGCAAACTTCAATCACCAAGAGTGGCTCAGCAGTACCACAAATGACCAAGCTGGACAAGTCCTAAATAATGTAGCTGCTGGACTAGGCCTATGGCAGTTGGACAGAAAAATGACCTAGCTTCATCCTCAAAAATCTACCTGTTGTAGACACATCTGTTCATGATAGTATCTGTCGGAGAGACCACCACCCAGTCATTGTGGAAACAGTCCCTCCTTCAGATTGAGGATAGCATCCATTGTTTTGTCCGACACTTGCTGAACAGGAAAAATATAAAACAGATCTAGCAACTCAGAACTGGGCATCCATTAGGTGCTGTGGTTATCAAGCATAATCTCTGAACTTATTGCCCAACACACCCCCGCATTCTACCATTATCACCAAGCCAGTGAATCAATCCTCGTTCAATGCGAAGTGCAGGAAGGCTTGCCACAAGCAGCACGAGGCATTCTCAAAAGTGAGGTGTCAACCTGTTGAAGCTACAACTCTCAGGAACATAGAATATAGGAGCAGGAGGAGGACATTCAGCCCTTCGAGACTGCTTCAGTCTTCATCACGATCATGGCTGATCATCCAACTCAATAGCCTAACCTGCTTTCTCCCCATAACTTTCGATCCCATTCAACCCAAGTGCTATATCTAACCACCTCTTGAATACATTCAATATTTTGGCATCAACTACTTCCTGTGGTAATCAATTCCACGGGCTCACCACTCTTTGGGTGAAGAAATGTCTCCTCATTTCCATCCTAAATGGTCTACCCTGAATCCACAGACTGTGACCCCTAGTTCTGGACACACTCACTATCAGGAACATTCTCCCTGCATCTATCCTATTAGAATTTTCTATGTCTCTATAAGAAGTGTCTATGGGATTACCCCCTCATTCTCCTGACCTCCAGCAAAAACAATCCTAACCTAGTCAATCTCTCCTCGTACGTCAGTCCTGCCATCCTCAGAAGCAGCCTGGTAAACCTTCGCTGCACTGCCTACAGAGCAACAGCATCCTTCTTCAGACAAAGGAGACCAAAACTGCACAATATTCTAGGTGTGGCCTCACCAAGGCCCTGTATAACTGCAACAACACATCCCTGCTCCTGTACTCAAAACCTCTCGCAATGAAGGCCAACATACCATTTGCTTTCTTTATTTCCTGCTGCACCTGCATGCATACCTTCAGCGACTAGTGCACAAGGACACCCAGGTCCCACTGCACACTCCCCTCCTAATTTACAGCCATTCAGGTAGTAATCTGCCTTTATGCTTTTGCTTCCAAATTGAATAACCTCACATCTATCCAAATTATACTGCATCTGCCAATGATTTACTCACTCGCCCAACCTGTCTAGATCATGCTGAAGGATCTCTGCATCCTCTTACAGTTCACCCTCCCACCCAACTTGGTATCATCTGAAAACTTGGAGATGTTACATTTTGTTCCCTCATCCAAATCATTAATATATATTGTGAATAGCTGGGGTCCAAGCACCGATCCTGTGGCAATCCACTAGTTACTGCCTGCTAATTTGAAGAGCACAGATTAATTCCCACTCTCTGTTTCCTCTCTGTCAACCAGTTTCTTATCCACCTCAATACACTTTCCCCAATACCATGCATTTTAATCTTGCACAACAATCTCTTACGCAAGACTTTGTCAAATGCTTTCTGAAAGTCCAAATAGATCACATCAACTGGCTCCCCCTTGTCAACTCTACGAGTTGCATCTTCATAGAATTCCAACAGATTTGTCAAGCATGACTTCCCCTTCATAAATCCATGACGACTCTGTTGGTTACTAGTTTCCAAAAATAAAATCGTAAACAGCATGTGATACCCAAGCTAAATGATCCCAAAACCCACAAATCAGATCTAAGCTCTGCAGTTGTGCTGTACCCAGTCACAAACGGTGGTGGACAATTATGCAAATCATTGGAGGAGACTCCACAAATATCCCTATTGTCAATGCTGAGGGAGCCCAGTGCATCAATGGAAAAGACTGGCTGAAGCATCAATCCATATCAGCATCCTCCTAAGCGTCCCAGCCCCACAGGTGCCAGCATGCAGTCAATTCATTTCACGTGATATTAAGAAACAGCTAAAGGCACTGTATGCTGAAAAGGTTGTGGGCCTCAACAACAGGACTGAAGACATATTCCAAAGCAAGCTGTAGCCTTAGTTAAGTTGTTTCAGTACAGCTACAGTACTGGCGTCTACCCACAATGTGGAAAATCGCCTCACTATGTCACATATACAAAAAAAAAGACACATCTAACCCGGCCAAGTCTACTAGCAAAAATCAGAAAAGTGATGGAAGGTGTCATCGACAGTGCTATTCTGCAGCACTTCCTCAACAATAACTTGCTCACTGACATTCAGCTTGGGTCCGTCAGGTTCACCCAGCTTCTGACCTCACTAAAACCTTGATCTAAACATGGACATAATACAAAATTAATATGAAGGTAACCTTTGATCAAGCATGGCATCAAGGAACTCTAGCAAAACTGGATACAATCATAAACATAGGGAAAACCCTCCATTGTCATACCGAGCATAAAGAAAGATGCTTGTGCTCGTTAGGGGTCAATAATCTCACCCTGAATTTTCTGGTTTAGCTGAAAGAAGAGAAAAAAATTGAAGCCTACTCTATTGAAAGGTCAATCTGTCAGATGGTGACCTAATTATTTGAAAACCCCTGGGCCATTTCTTAACATTTAATGTGTTTTCTGAAGAAATGCGTGTGTTAAAAAGTGCTGTCATTCAGTAGGTGATGAATTGAACATTTTGTCTGGCTGAAGTCCTGATTTAAAACAGACACAGTGCACTGGATGTGATTAACCATTTGTCAGTAAAACATGACGCAGTTGATCATAGGGTCATGCTGTGCAAATATCATACAATTCATTAGATAACACAAAATATGCAGCAGTCATGAGCAAGCTCACCTGAGGTCGTTTGTTAAAAATTGAGAGATAACCCTCTTTTCAGGGAAAAGAGGCGAAAGTTTGAAGGAATGGAAGATCACCTCACCATAGTTCATTTGTGATATTTGCCAATGATCAATCTGATTAACTGCTGCAAGCTGAACAGTGTTAAGGTTTTTGGAAACGAGTCAAAAAATGGTGCCTTTGACCAATAGTTAACTAGCTCAAGAACAGGAGGTGTCTAATCAATGAATGGAGGTTGAGACAGAGTAGGCTAGATCTGTTTTGTTCTGATTCTTGGAAGTCCATGTAAACCAGTTCACTTGTGACTGTAAGCATTATATGAGTAAGTTTATGATGTATTACTCTTAGTATACTATTTTTGGAGCATACCTTGCTTCAGTAAAGAACAATCGGGTATATCCTGTTGTTAGGACAGCCTGGGGTTAATCATATCCAGAGTAAACCCAATAGATGAGGGAAGGTAGAAATAAAAGCCTATACTTCGTAACATTCAATGGCAATACCATCACTGAATCCCCCACTATCAACATCCTCGGAATCTTCATTGACCAAAAACTGAACTGGACCAGCCATTGGAATACTGTAGCTACAAGACCAAGTGACAGGTTGGAAATTTTGCAACGTGTATTTCACGTCCTGAGTCATTAAAGCCTATACATCATCTGCAAGGCACAAATCACAAGCATGATAGAACATGCTCCAATTGCATTGACGGGTGCAGCTCCAACAAGATTCAAGAAGCCAATCAGGACAAAGCAGCCCCTTTACCTTTGGAAACTTCAACATTCACTCCCTCCACTACTGACACACTGTAGTGTGTGTCCCAAGCTGCACTACAACATCTCACCAAGGCTCTTTAGACTGTAGCTTCGAAGTCCACAACCTCCACCACATAGGAGAACTAGGACAGAAGATAGGTGGGAACACCGCTACCTACAGGTTACTCTTCAAACCTTCAATGTCCTGCCTTGGTATTATACGACTGTTCCTTCACTACCAGTGTGTCAAAATACAGAAACTCCCTCCCCAACAATGCATGTTATACACACAGCACATGGATGGCAGGTTCCAGGAAAGGACTTAAAAATTGGCCAAAGAAAATTGCAGCAGACCTAAGATTGATTGGGTGGGGGTGTTGGGGCATGCAGGGAAGGAGGGGGAGGTTGTAATCGAGTACAAGAGTAAATTGTAGAGTAAATATGAATTGATTGTAAAAGCTTCTATCATTATGTGAAGAGGTAAAGATCAGTGAAGACAAATGCAGGTCTCTTACAATCAAAAACAGAGGAAGTTATAACAGGGAACAAGGAGATGGCAGACCAGCCAAATACATAGTTTGGCTCTATCTTACAGATGAGAACACAAATAACATCTCAAAAATGTTAGGGAATACAAGGTCTACTGAAAGGAAGGAACTGAACAGAGTCAGTATTAGTAGGGTGATGGTGTTGGGGAAATTGATGGGATTAAAGGCTAACAAATCCCAGAGCCCAATAATCAACATCCCAGAGTATTTAAAGAAGTGACCCAGAAATAACAGATGCATTGGTTGTCATCCTTCAAGAGTCTACCAACTCTAGAATAGTTCTTATGGTTTGGAGAATAGCTAATGCAACACCACCATTTAAAAAAGGAGAGAGGGAGAAAACAGAATCATAGGCTGGTTAACTTGATACTGGTAGTTGGGTGTGGTGATTGGAACCAGATGGATCTTATTGACTAAGATCCTTGATTGGGGTTGTTAACCTGGACCAATCAGAGAGCCCTGGCAGATGTAAACAGGGGATTCAGAGTCTCCTGATTCAGAGGACTGACTCCAAGCTACAGCCAGTGTACTGGTAAATAAAGGATGTCTTGATGACAGTATACCAGTCTCTGTTCAATTATTTCATCGGGAAAATACCAATGTCCATTACAGAAGATTTAATATCAAAGTACTTGAAAACAGTGACAGTATTGGACCAATTCAGCATGAGTTTATGAAAGATAAATCATGCTTGACAAATCTACTGGAATTTTTCAAGGACGTAACTAGTAGACTTGAAACAGGAAAGGCAGTTAATGTGACTTATTTGGACTTTCAGAAGGCTTTCAATATAGTCTCATTCAAGAGATTACTATGTAGTTGTGATTAAGGGTAATATACTGACATGGATAGAGAATTGTAAGCAGACAGGAAACAAAGTAGGAACAAATTTTCCGAATGGCAGGCAATGACTGGTGGGGGACCTCAGAGGCTTGGACCTCAGTTATTCACTATATGTATTAATGAGTTAGATAAGAGAACAAAATGAAATATCATGTTTGCAGATGACACAAAGCTGGTTGGGAGGGCAAACGGTGAGAAAGCAGAGATGTTTTAGTGTGATTTGGACAAGTTGAGTACACGGGCAAATGCATGGCAGATGAAGTATACAATAGATAAATAAGGTTATCCACTTTGGTAGCAAAAGCAGGAAGGCAGATTATTATCTGAATGTGGATGGATTGGGAAAGAGGGAGGTGCAACAAGACCTGGGTGTCCTTGCACACCATTTACTGAGAACAAGCATGCAGATGCAGTGGGTAGTGAAGAAGGCAAATGGAATGTTGGCCTCCACAACAAGAGGATTCAAGTACAGGAGCAGAGATGTCTTGCTACAACTATACAGGGCCTTGATGAGACCACACACCTGGAGTAGTGTGTACAGTTTGGTCTCCTCATCTTTAGTAATATGTTCTGGCTATGGAGGGAGTGCAACAAACATTTACTAGACTGATTCCTGGGATGACAGGACTGACATATGAGGAGAGCCTGGATTATATTCACTGGAGTTTAGAAGAATTAGGGGGAATCTCACAGAAACCTATAAAATTCTAACAGGACTAAACAAGGTAAATGCAGGAATGATATTCCCATGATTGGGAAGTTCAGAACTAGGAGTCACAGTCTAGGAATACCGGGTAGGCCATTTAGGACTGAGATGGGGAGAAATCTCTTCACCCAGAAGGTGATGAGCTTGTGGAATCCTCTGCCACAGAAAGGTTGAGGTCGAGTTGGTGTTGCCCACATCTTGCAGATGAATAAAATAAATCTCTAGAGTATTTATTCAATTCCACATCTCCTCTACACGATCTTACACTGTCATTTCAACACAATCTTACACAATTGTCTTAAGCTATCAATACTTGTCCTTCCACCAGCTCTATTTCACAGATCATCATAAACGTATGGTAATGAAGCACACAACTTTTGGATGAATCTTAAGCACTGTTATTTATCTCTCTCCTTTTTGGATCAACATAACACATGTTTTTGTTAGCTTACCTGGTTACAGATACAAAAAGAAACACAGAAGCGGTGTTCTCTTCTGGAAAATTTAGCATATAGAGAGCTGGAACTTTATTCTGCTTTTACATAGTAGATCACTCTCTTGGATTTTCAAAAGATTCTTGAAAGATTATTTTTGAAAATAAATTACTATAGAACAGTACAAAAGGGTTTTAAATGAAATTTTTCAACAGGAACTGATTGAGAGTAGAATTCCCAGAGTTCAATGTTGGATCCTCTTCTTTTCATTAATGATCTGGTCACATTGTTAAGTAAATTTGAAAATTACACTAAATTTTGTGGAAAAGTCATTAATTTATAATAGGATAACTGACAGGTTGGGCAAAATAGCTCAAGACTGGTAAACAAGGGCAAACTATCTGTTCAGCGGGCATCAATTAATTAAAATTAGAGAGAAATAACTTTTGGAGATCATCGTGGGTTATTCTCTCAAGCTTCATACTGAGTCAAGAAGTCATGTGCATAACAAACAGGATTAATTTGGATCACCCGGATGATATTACAAAATTATGGCCACTACAATACGGTTATAAAATATCATGCTGTGAACGCATTCTAAACTTATTATGAATACACTGGCATAAATGCCAAGTCTACATCCACATATTCTCCATCCTTGACCCCACTAGAATTTACAAAGTCAGCCTGAGGGTGCTCACCAGCACGGGACTACAATGAGGTGCATCACCACTCTTGGCCAGACCCATGCAGCTGGAACATTTAACAACTGCCTGCAATTGGGAAATGGTGCACAACCTCCCCCTTCTGAGCCTACAAAGCCCCTGGGAAGACTTGATGCATGTTATCCTGAAAGTTAAAAATTGTCATACTGACACTAAGATGGATGAGCACAAAAATACATAAATTGTAGAAAAAGGATAAACTAAATTGAATTGATACAGATCTCTAGCTACATGCTTTACTCACATTTTGAATAGAATCCACTTTTGTTTTATGAACTTGCTATGTGAAGAAATAAACTCAGCAATTGTATCTCCATACTTCGTAATAAGTGTATCCCAAAAGTAAAAGAAAATGGCAATCAATGTTAAAATAAGGAGTCCCAGGGCTCTTTGAAAATTCAAAATACATGCTGCGATCACCATGCAAAAGTACCCTGCAAAAGAAATGAAATACATTTAAATTCATGTGTTCAACTCTACCAGGGACTCAAGTGCCACATCAGAGTCTTGAGCAGTTATTCTAACATTGTAGTGTAATAGCAAAGAAACAGTGTACTGTGGGAATTGCTGACTTCCGGAAGGGACATTAATCTACTTCAGGTGGAATAAGAGTGAAGTATACAAGACGTAGTTCTCCCAATGTCCTGACTGACAACTATGCCTTAAACTTCAAAAAAACAGATATGATTAGTTGCCTTGTTGTTGCATTTGGAATCTCGATGTCTGCAAATTGGCTGTTGCATTTCCCTACACGACAACAGTGACTGTACTGGGAAAAGTACCTTATTGGCTGTACAACAACAAATCTTAAAGTACAATTTGCAGTTAGCCTCAAATCCACAGGGATTTTCCTAATTTCTATTCTGTGGAAAATTCTGCTAAAGATGGTAGACAGCACCACACGTTTAGCCTAAACTAACGTAGCTTAGTTGATAATGTAACTATGCCTTTCGTGCTGATCAAGGGAGAAATAACTTGATAAAAGCAAAGACCACAAGACAAAGGTGCAAAAGGAGGCCACTTGGCCCATCAGGTCCACTGATTTGACAATCCTCAACTCCACTTTTCTACCTTATCCTCATAACCCTGAACTCCCTTAATGATTAGAAATCTGTCTATCTCAGCCTTAAATACACTTAGCACTCAGGCCTCAACAGCACTCTGAGAAAGAATTCCACAAATTCTCAATACTCAAAAAACTTCCTCCTCATCTCTGTCTTAAATGGGTGGCCATGATGTGGAGGTGCCAATTTGGACTGGGGTGGACCAAGTCATAAGTCACATGACACCAGAATCTAATCCAACAGGTTTACCTGAAATCACAAGCTTTCAGAGTGCTGTTCCTTCATCAGGTGAAGTGGAGTGAAGCGCAAAGGCTATATGTTCTGTGCCTGTGCACAGCTATGATGTCCTAGTCCCATGTTCCCATATATGCCCGGAGTTCATCAGCCTTACCTGCAACACCCCTTGCATTGAAATAAACGCAGTTTAATCACTCAGAGTTACCTCGTTCTCTGAATTGCTCTTGTCTGCCTCTTCTAATTAACTTGCTCTTTTCTGATTCAAAATCATCCTCATCTGTCTTTCTATTTTTACTACTACTTAGGAACCCTCCAACCCACTTCTCTACTAGCTTAAAGGTTTCCAAAATAGAACTCGCAAATCATCCTACCAGGATATTGGTCCCTTCCAACTTAGATGAAACCCATCCCTTTAGAACAGGTCTTTTTTGCTCTAGAAGAGATCCCAATGATCCAAAAATCTGAATCCTTGCACATTGCACCATCTCTTCAGCTATTGATTTATCTATCCTATGTTTTCATTCCTATTCTCATTAGAATGTGACACCAGGAGTAAACCAGGGATTACTACCTTCAAGGTTCTGCTTTTTAACGTACCTAACCTCTTAAAACAATTATGCAAAGCCTTAACCCTTTCCCTAACTATGTCGTTCCTAACAATGTACACAACAACTTCTGGCTTCTCACTCTTCCCCCTTGACAAAATGCTTCAACAATTTTGAGACATCCCTAACCCTTATGTTCCTTCCACAAAGTGCACAACCTCACGTTTTCCCATATTATATTTTATCTGCCAGGTTTTTGCCAACTCACTTAACCTGTTGATATCCCTCTATACAGGCCTTGTGTCATCCTCACTACTTGCTTTCCCATAGTTTTCTGTCATCTGTAAACCTGGGCAACGTACATTATTTCTGTCATCCAAGTCAAAGGCTGTGGGTTTTGCTATTTTAACTGCAATACTGTATTTTGAGAAGTCATTGTGAATATCACCTTCTGGTGAACAATATAATCCTGAACCCATGCTTAACCTTCCACATCCTCTCAAAGGAATTTCCTAAAATTAGAGAAAAGTTTAAATATGAGGTTCCATACTGGAATCCCCTTATGTGTGGTGCAGATGTTGCGAGGAAGAGAAAGCACCCAGATAAGCCAGGAAAACAGGAAGACTATCCTTATTACAAATTAGAGTATAACAGTAGGGAAGTCTTGCTGAAATTGTACAAGGTATTGGTGGCACCACATCTGGAGTACTGTGAGCAATGCTGGTTCCCTTATCTCAGAAAATATATTATTTCATTATAGGCAGCTCTGAGAAGGTTCTCTGGAATGAAGGGATTGCTTATAAGCAAAGACTAAACAGTTGGATTTTACTCATTGGAGTTTAAAAGAATGAGTGGTGATCTCATTGAAACATTAGGGGCTTGACACGGTAAATGCTGAAAAGGGGGTTTCCTGCATGGCAGAATCTAATCAGCAAATTTAAAACTGAGATGAGGAGGAATTTGTTTTCTTACACAGTTGAGTGTCCTTGGAACTTCTTACCCCAGAAGGTGGGGGGCAGAGTCCTTGTGCATCTTTAAGTCTGAGATAGAAGATTCTTGATCAGTAGGGGAAATCAAGGGTTATGGAGAAAACACAGGTAGTGGATGTGAGGCATATCAGATCAGCCATGATCCTAATAATGTCTGAGCCGGCTCAAAAAGGTCAAACAGTCTACTTCTGTTCCTATTTCTTAAGAATTAGGCAGCACCTAAACAGATTCAGACTCTCCCACCAGGATCATTGTCTTCTAGACAACTAGTTAGAAATTTTGTCTTCGGCCACAAAGAATCAGGAAAAGGGACTTTTGCACAAGACTTGTGCACAAACCTGCATACTACTTCAATGACTCAGACCAATGACTGATAGAATTACCAAAGCTCTGAACTTTGAAGTGGCTGGCTCTTTCCAAGGAGCAACAAGTTTTTTTTTGACAATTGGTATGCACACAGTCTATTAAATTCAATAATTCAGATTCAAGGGCATTTCTATTATGGATGACGAAGAGTCTTAGCAGTCACTAATGATGTAATTGTGGCCATCAGCGCTCTGCACATAAGTTACATCAATCCAAATGGCTTCCAGTCTCCCAAAGTATGCATGCAGCTGCTATCCATTTAGTCAGATTGACTCGAGTCAGTGTACCTGCCTTTAAAATAGTGAACATTTTTTACGGTGAACAAAGGGGTGCCAATCATATGGGCTGTTTTGAGATAGCAAGAACTGCAGATTCTGGAGTCAGAAACAATAGTGTTGAGCTGGAATAACACATCAGGCCAGGCAGCATCAGAGGAGCAGGAAAGTTGACGTTTTGTGTCGGGACTCTTCTTCCGAAGAAGGGTCCTATCCAGAAACATCAACATTCCTGCTCCTCTGATGCTGCCTGGCCTGCTGTGTTCCTCCAGCTCTACACAATATGGGCTATTTTGTTATGAGCTCAACAATATCCATTGGTGTTGTTGATGTTATGATCATTTCAGTAAATGGATAGTCATCCATCACATTGCTAACCTTGTAGATCAGGAAGCCAAAAGATAAGTTAATCATCATTAAGTACACAGCCTCTGACCTAATCTTATAGCCACAATATGTAACTCTCTGCTTCAGTTAAGTTTCTGGTCAAGGGCAAACCCAGGACGTAGATGATGGAGAAGTCAGCAATAGTAATGCAGTTTAATGTCAAAAAGAGATGCTGGCACTTATTAGCATTAGCCCAAATGTAATCCACGTTTGCAGCATAAGGAGTTGCAAATGGAACTGCACAACTGTCAGCAAATATCCTCCTTCAGATCTTATGATGGACAGGAAGGTCACTGATAAAGCAACTGAACAGATTAAGCCAAGGTCTCTAGCAACCATAACCAGTTTCTTCCATGCTAGATAAGACTTCATTCAGCGTAGGGGGGCTCCCCCTCATTCCCAGAAGTTCAGATTTGCTAGGATTACTTGCCTCAAATGAATCAAATGTTGACTTGACAACAAAGGTAAGATGACAAAGATGACAAAGTTGACATCTTACTTCACTTCTGGATTTTAACTCTCTTTCCAAGTTTGGGCCAAGGCTGAATGAGGTCTGATACTTATTAGTCCTAGCACAAATAGAACTTTGGTGAGCATTTATTAATGAGTAAGTGCCACCTAGTAACACTGTTGACCTTTCATCACTTGTGAAATTACTAAGATTGGCTGATGGGGCAGTAGGTGGTTGGATTATGTTTGTCTCTTTTTTTTGAGGACTGGATATGCTGGAAGATTCTAAAGAATTTCCCAGAGATGCCCGAGTTGTGGCTATACCAGACAAGTTTAGCGAGAGGTACCGCTCTTTCTGTAGCACAAGTCTCCAGCACTACAGCCTTGCTACATTCACTGTACCCAGCCATTTCTTTATATCAAATGGAACATATCAAATTCGACGAAGACTGGTATGCGAGACACTGAGGGAGCAGTGATGGGTCGTCCATTCAGCACTCATGGCTGAACGACTCATTGCAAAAATTCTGAATTTTTACTGGATGATTTACTTATTCAGATGTTCAATGATTCCAACCCCACCGCCCACCACCCACCACATTCCCCCCGTCTCCCACCCCGCCATGTTCAGCCTAAACCAATGTAACCTAGTTGTTAAAGTAATTTGCACTGGTCATGAGAAGTCAAGCAGTTTGTTCTCAATTGCGATTCTAAAATTGTGATCTCGTGGTCTGCTTTTCAAAATGTTTGTCTTTAGCAAGATCTAAAAATGGAATTAAGTGAAACAGCTGCACAGTTCACAAAAGAAGATGAGCAGACTTTGAAGAATAACAGATGGCAATCTACAAGAAACATTAGAACATAGGAGCAGGAATAGGTCATTCAGTCCCTTGAGCCTGTTCCACCATTCAATGAGATCATGGCTGATCGCTGACCTAACCCCCATCTACCTGCCTTTGGCTCATATCTCTTAATACCTTTAACAAAACTTTATCCATCTCACATATTTCAAATTACTAAATCTAGCAACGACTAATATTTATAGAAGCTTGATTCAAACCTCTACGACCCTGTCCAGTCCTACTTTTCAGGCTATGCTCCCTAATTCTAGAATCTCCAATCAGTGGAAATAGTTTCTTTATTTATCCTGCCTTTTCCTGTTGTTATCTTGAAGACTTTCATTCAGATCACTCTTAACCTTCTAAATTCTACAGAAAACAGGCCTATTTGTATAATATGTCCTTATGACTTAATTCCCTGCCATACTGGTATAATTTTTGTAAACCTTTCTCCATGGCCAAAATATCCTCCCTAACAATGAGCTAAGAGTTGGAACACAATTCGCTATAGCACAAAATGAAAATGCCAATTCCAAATCACAATAGTAACTTTGCTGTATGTTTCCAAACGCAGAACTACCAGTCAGTCAAACAAACAGATATTTTTTCAACCTAGTTACTATAAACAGTCAAAACAATTTAATGAATGTCTGCAGATCATTTTCCCTAGTGCCTGAATGCATTGTCTCTTGGCTTGTTAAGGAACGCTTTATACTTACTACCTGAAGGCCAGGGTACATTTGCCAGAAGCAGTGTTTTGGAATTTAAGCTTCTGAATTCAGTGGCAAACCTATGGTGGATATGATTTTGTGCCATTGTCGTTAACACAGCCTACCTATATCTTCTTGCTGCTATACTGTTTAACAGAACTGGCCAAAAATGAACAATATTAAATAGTAGAACCCCTGTTACTCCAGGGTCCAGGTTCATATTGCTAAGTGGGAAAACAGACCTAACCTGACAAACTTGTAAGTCCTCAAAATAGGTTCGCTAATCAGTCCACAGAAGACTGAAAGTAAACTGTAAATGTGTCTGCATTGAAAGCACCGACTTTCTCAGAACTCAAAAGAATGGAGATCATGAAAGCCACTGAAAATATTATCCTTATTTAAACATGGCAATTTCAGTCACTGTGGAAAAAAAATTGCCATTATTTTTCAAAAAGCAATAATTGTTATAAACAAATCCTTACATTCCAGTTTTTTCCATTATAAGCGTTTAATAGGAATGTCTCCCCTTAGAGGAATTCACTTAAAGATATGACTGAAATAACGTTTATATACAACATTTTGTACCATATACCAAAAATTAATACATAATTAATCATGTTTTCTGTTATTAACTGATCTTGAACACTACCTGTCAGGAAGACGATCCGAATTACACGATGAATAATTTTTTTGTGCTTTGAATAGAATTCTTGCACCTGTTCATGTTTCTTTCCACAAGCTCTGAAGAGGCTGAACAGACAAAACAATGGATCAATTGTAAAAAGATTTAATTTATTGGATCTCGTTACTGATAGACCTTGTATGTCTCTTGCAGTATGTGTGTTGCGAGATGCAATAATATTTGCGTGACAACTAATATTGAATGTATGTAACTATATGTGTAGGGAGAGATAAGTGTTTTCTGCGTTCATTTGATTATACATGGGTGTATGTTTAAGTGTACATTAAAATACTAATATATAGTTGGTGAGATGTGAACTTCGTGTATGCACAAGTTCATCCATGCACATTTCCATTTTATTACAAAATTGATAGAAAAGAATACCACTGGCATCAAAATGAATACTAAAGGATAGTTCTTCAAAGTAGCAGAAGATAAGAAGTGGATCCCAAGGATCAGTGCCAGTTTGTCTGGTTCAAAATGTGCAATTCACACTTGTAACTTAAACTTTGGAATCAACTTCAAAATCTCTAAATTTGTGGATGACACCATATGGGAAAGATCATCAACACTGAACAGCTCTGCGATAAATTACAAAAATACATTAATGCAGAATGGGCATATACTTGCAGATTAATTCTGACCTAGGTAAATATAAGGTACAATGTTTCGGTAAACTAAGAAGACTGAACATAAATTGCAAAATACTAGGATCACAGGGATTTAAGAGCAGAAATACGCAAAACACAAACATGAATCTCAGTTAATAAGGCCAAAAGAAAACCAAGCATTCAAGTTTATTTCTGGAGAAACAGAATTGAAAAGAAGAGATATTATGCTAAACTTCTATCAAATTATAGTTAGACCACAATTGGAAGGTCTGATCATCACATTTCTAGACCTATCAGCAATCATTAGATTTTGCAGTTTATATTCTTACATTTTATTTCTGCTCTGCTTCTGACTTTAAGCAAATCTTCACTACACTTTTTTTTTTAATTTAAATGTTAATTTGTTGACATTAATTTAGAACTAAGCACAATTGTGCTTTGATGAAATACTTGAGTTAATCATGTAAGCAATAGTAATATTAGTTGTAGTTTTGGTTCTCCCCATCCACCACAAAGGTCTTTCGATGCTGACCAACACAGGCCATATTTGCAACAGTTGCATTGTCTGAATTATTTGCTTTTTTCAGACTTGCCAATATTATTTTTTTTTTATTCAATCACCCTTGAACTAAAAGCCAGGACAAAGAATAGCCTTGCAAGTGGGTGGAGTCAGGAGATGGACTTGGAATGATCAGCAGTATGACTTGATTAATGGCATGTGGGAAAAACCATCAAAACATTATATTAACAGCCCAAGTTCTGTAGGCTTTACATAAACCTGTAAGAAGTTGATAAGGGTTTATTATTGTCAGACTCCTGTTTTGGGAAAGTCTGAAGAAGCCATCAAAAGCTGGAATGGAGCAAGAAATTGAACAAAGAAGGGCACAACCTCTAGAGTTCAGTGTTTCAACCAGAGTGGTCTCGTCAACTACCGAAGACTGACTGGTGAGTCCACCCACGTGTAAGGCTATTCAGAGATGTGGCGATCTATGCTGTGATGTTCACAGGAAAGAACTTGAAAAATCAGTTGAATCAAACTTAAAAGGTTTAAGGTAGAGGAGTCATCTCTCCAAATTTAAACTTCTGTAAAGTGATTGTGTTGGGAAATAGGGTGAAACCTTGACTTGCTGAGTGTTATAAGATTTTTATAACCTGTGTTCTATATTTAGATAGATTAGGTTTCTTCATTTTATTGTTTTTCTCTATATGTAATGAACTTGTTTTATTGTTAAAGAAAATCTTCAGCTTTGTGTACTTCTGTTTCAGTAAATGGCCATTACATTGAATTTTTTCTTTGGAATGATCTATTGGGGCAGATATCATTCTGGAATCTTCCTTTTCTGTCAGTAACAGTAGCTGATATCACAATAATGTACTCAGGAGATGTGCATCATTTTAGGCATTTGTCATGAACAGATTAATTTGGGGGTGTTTTACCATTTTTGGAGTTGTTCTGAACAGACCAATTTGGGTTACCATTTGTGCTATAATAAAGGGTCTTTCTTTGTATATACTCACATGGCATTTTCTTTCTAATAATGTTATCTTTTATTTTATTGTTTATAATTTTTTATGAATGATTTATTTAAAAAGTTGTTTTAACACATTATTTGCCATTAAGTCATTCTCACACATCCAGAGTACTGGTCCAAACTTAAGTGAGACTACAAAGTTGATGGCAGGTGGGAAACACCATTGAAACGTTATACTAACAGACCAAGTTTGACAGAATCTGTACATCTGTGACAAGAAGTTGATAAGTCTGACCTATATGTCCATTTTATAGTATAAAAGCATTAGCAATGATGATAAAGAAATATTTACAAGGATGATTACAGAACTGTGGAATTATAGTTATTAGGAAAGGATAAACAGGTCAGGCTGAATTTTACCAGAAAAGTGTTAATTTTGGTGAGTTTCATGGAGGGTTTGTCTTCATGAGTCTTAACAAGATTTCTCATTCTATCTTTCCAATCTTGCCCCTATGACAACTTATTGCTATATCCTCCCCCCTCACCATGGGCAGAAGTATTGGCAATTTCCAGGATCTCCCAGAATTCATGGCACTGCTGCTACTTTGAAACCCAGTCATGCACCTAGTCAAGCACTGACAGTCTAGCTGCTGTCTTCTGCTCCAGACATATCACAGGGAAACTGGTCTCCCACTTTGCAATAGGGACCAGATTCCTAGTGGCCAGGGGATGCGTGTGGAGCATGCCCTGAGATATTGGTGACTGGTGCTCAAGATGGGGGGCTGGGGTAACAAGTTGATGAGCTGGAGTTGCCAGGTTACTGCTGGTAACTTACATGTTGAGCATTCATGTCTAGTTTCGATCTGGAGAGTGGGAGAAGTGAAAATTGCATATCAAAGAGATGTGATTGACTAATGACAAGATGTTATGCAAATTGGCATCTCCCCTCTCACCAGCAAGAATAATGTCCCAGTGTTCAACATTTGGTTGTAAAATGGGACTTTTTTTTGCTCTCGACATCAGATATCTCCTTCCAGCCAATCTCACCCAATTCTACCAGTTTTCTTGTCAATGTCCACAACATTTAATGCTGGGAAAATTCAGCCAGGAGAGTTTCTTTTCTCTTGAAGAAGACTGAAAATGACCGAATGCATCTTTAAAGTTATTAAAGGTTTTTATTGGGTAAACATGGGATTTCCACTGACGAGAGGACAAAACCAGAAGACTTCATTATAAGATATTCACAATGAAATCAAATTGAGAATTCTGAAGAAATTTTCTTGCCTGGGGAATAAGAAGAATGAGAAATCCGCTACCGTAGACAGTGACTGAGATGAAGAGTATAGATTCAGTTAAGGTGAAGATAAGTAAATATAAACAGGAGGATGCTGTTGTTAACAGTGAGATGAAAAAGGGAGGTAATCAGTGCTGGGACCACAACTGTTTACAACATATGCTTCCATCCTCCATGTCATTTATATTGTGTCGCAGCCAAATTCGCATACAGCACAAAAATAAGTGGAAAGGCAGGTGGCAAGAGGAATACAAACAGTTTACAGAGAGATGTTGATAGGTTAAGTAAGTTGACAAATGGATTATAGTGTGGGAAAATGTGAAATTGTTTATTTTGTAAGGGAAAACAGCAGTATTATTTAAACAGAGAAAAACTGCAGAAAACTGCAACACCAAGGAAATTAGGGGTACTTCTGCATGAAACAGAGAAAGCTACACCACACAGGTGCAGCAGGTAATCAGAACGGCTAATGGAATGTTAGCCCTTATTTCAAGGGTTTGGAGTATAGGAAACAGGAAGTCTTACTACAACTTTACAAGGTGCTGGTGAAACCACATCTAGTGTATTGTGAGCAGTTTTGGTTCCCCTATCTTAGAAAGGATAGTATTCCATTGGAGGCAGTTCAGGGAAAGTTCACTAGGATGATCCCAGATATGGTGGAATTGTCTTACGAGCAAAGGTTTAAAAAGGTTAGAGTCACAGAGACATACAGCACGGAAACAAATCTTTCAGTCCAACTCAATCATGCCAACCAGAGATTCTACATTAATCTAGTCCAACTTGCCAGCATTTGCCCCCTAACCCTCTAAACCCTTCCTGCTCATATATACATTCAGATGCCTTTTAAATGTTCTAATTGTACCAGCCTCCACCACTTCCTCTGGCAGCTCACTCCATATATGCGCTACCCTCTGCATGAAAAAGTTGCCCCTTAAGTCCCTTTTAAATCTTTCCCCTCTCACCTTAAACCTATGCCCTCTAGTTTTGACTCCCAACCCAGGGAAAAGACCTTGTCTATTTACCCTATCCATGCTCCTCATGATTTTATAAATTTCCATAAGGTCACCCGTCAGCCACTGATGCTCCAGGAAAAATAGCCCCAGATGATTCAGGCTCTCCCTATAGTTCAAAACCTGAAACCCTGGCAACATCCTTGTAAATCTTTCTGCCAGGGTTATAGGGTTTGAGCTATTCTATAAGTTAGAACTTACTCAAATGGAATTTAAAAGAATGAGGGGTGATCCAATTGAAACATGTAGAATTCTTAAGGGGCTTGGCAGGGTAAATACTGAAAGGATGTATCTCCTCATGAGAAAGTCTAAGACCAGAGGATATAGTCTCACAATTAAGAGATGTCAATTTTAGACTGGGATGAGGAGGAATTTCTTCTGAGGGTTTGAAACTCCCTTGCCACAGACAACTGTGGGGCCAGAGTCCTAGCATTTATTTAAGGTTGAGATAGATTCTTGATCAGTAGGAGAATCAACAATCATAGGGACTGGGCAGTAAAGTGGATGTAAGGAATGTTGATCAGCCATGATCCTACTGAATTGCAAAGAAAGTGGTCTCCTTATTTCCGACGGTCTTAGGGTTAGAGGAGAGTTTAAACATTGAAATAGACCGGTTGGTCTTTTTCTGTGTCATCAATTCTGTATAATTTTAATTCAGCTCTGGTCTATAATTACTGTAGA